AGGGAAAGATTGCCAGAAGGCAAAGAACAGTAAATACATTCGGAGGCAGAGGGCAAAGTGTGGGAAGACCAAGAAGGCATTCCAAGAGGCAATGCTTGAGTTCAGTCTTGGAAGACAATTGGGAGAGGTGAGTCAGTTAGGAATCATGGAAGAGGCCCATGTTCTTCTCACTTGGTTGGGTGAGAGACTCATAGAGGAAGGGCCTAGATGCTGTACTAGGACAGTGAATACAAGAAGACTTCAAAAAGTTCACGAGAAAATGAAGTTAAGGTACAATTTTATTTTGATGCAAAGAAGTATCGAAATCCTTGCATAGTTTGTTCATCATATGCATTTTCCATGAACGTTCTGTAGATCCCTTACGTCACTGTGAACAACTTTGTTTCATTAACAAAGCCTGTATTTACCCGTTGTACCACATGTTCTTTACTCCCGTCTGCCATCTCTGATTGGCTTACATGACTGGTAGTGTATGTGCTGGTGTTCTCAAAGTGCACTGCAGAAAATGTCTGTGTATTTTCTTAGCATTGAGAGGTTGAACTAAGTTATTCTATGCTTCCTCTTCAGAGCTCTAATATTGTCTCTGAACTCAGGGTGTTTGGAGAGGATTAAAATTATCCACACCCAAACCCTCTGTGTGTCTTTCCTTTTGATGGTTTATGAAGGAAGCTATGAAGGAAGACTTAAAGAAATGATGAAAATATCTATCCATAAAGAACACCTTTAAGGGGAAGAGTTAGAAAGAAACAGAGCACAAGGGGAAAGGAATATTTCCTTCTTTTCTTGTTGGGTGAGCTTAAATCATGGTGGTGATGAAGGAAATGTGAAACAGTAGTGGGAGCTGGCGGAGAAGGCTGGCTGGCCAGCCTATGTGAAAGAGCTGCATATGTAACAGAAAAACATGATTTAGGCTCTGCTGAAGAGATACAGGAGTTTCAGAATGACACAAGCATTTTCAGCTGTGTTGATGATTACAAGCGTGTAGTTCTCATCTACTTTGAGAAAGGGTTTGAATTATTTTACCATGAGATTTCATATGATAATGCAGATGGGCTACAGAGAGAGAAAGAGAAAGAGAGATAGGAGAGAGAGGAGAGAGAGGAAAGAGAGAGAGAGAGAGAGAGAGAGAGAGAGAGAGAGAGAGAATGCGTGTAGGCTCAGTATGGTAACACAGTGAGTACCAAAGCAAACTGTAGTACTGGAAGCCACACGACAGACCGTGGGTTCAGATCCCTGAGTGGCCTTGAAGACACAGTGGGTGCATTCATGTACTTAGGATCCTGATGAGCTAGAGGGTGAGGAAGGGGGAACGCAGTGAGACGAGACCATGTTGAAGGTACTTCTCTTTCTCTCATGCATATGCTTGCGTACCTTATCGTGGGTTAAATTTTTTTAAAAGACAGATTAATAACCATTTAGTGTCAGAAAAAGCTATTGGGTTATCAGGAAAATCATGATGCATTTTTATGTAGAAAAACAGAAAAATATGTCATGACTTTCCTGACAACCTAATGATTGTAACAAGAACCCAGAATAAAATAAGACTCCCTTGGTTTCATTTTTAGGTTTACTAGAGAGAGAGAGAGAGAGAGAGAGAGAGAGAGAGAGAGAGAATGCGTGTAGGCTCAGTATGGTAACACAGTGAGTACCAAAGCAAACTGTAGTACTGGAAGCCACACGACAGACCGTGGGTTCAGATCCCTGAGTGGCCTTGAAGACACAGTGGGTGCATTCATGTACTTAGGATCCTGATGAGCTAGAGGGTGAGGAAGGGGGAACGCAGTGAGACGAGACCATGTTGAAGGTACTTCTCTTTCTCTCATGCATATGCTTGCGTACCTTATCGTGGGTTAAATTTTTTTAAAAGACAGATTAATAACCATTTAGTGTCAGAAAAAGCTATTGGGTTATCAGGAAAATCATGATGCATTTTTATGTAGAAAAACAGAAAAATATGTCATGACTTTCCTGACAACCTAATGATTGTAACAAGAACCCAGAATAAAATAAGACTCCCTTGGTTTCATTTTTAGGTTTACTAGAAGTCATAGCAAAAGGATAAAATAGGGATGCTGCAGTTCCTGCAAAGAAACAGGCAATTTGGACTGGAAGTGTCTTCTCCCCACACTTTGTTAGAGAGATTCTCTCCTACGTGTATGTGTGGATTATAATGTTTACAGAAGATCTTAGAAATCATCTAATATTGCTTCCTCACTTCTCAGGTATGCAGATGAAGGTCTAGAAGGAGAAGTGATGTGGTCAGTATAGGTGTCAATAGTGGGATTTCTCTTATCTCCTAATGACCAGCTTGGTTTGCTGGCCTGCTGTCTTATGCCACATAACTGTGGTCAGATGAAAAAACTCGTCTCGTGCTTTGTCTTTTCCCCATAGCTACAGTCCCTTTGGGTGGACTCAGATTTAGGGGTAGATGTGAGACAGGGCTCATCAGCAGGTCTCAGGCTCAACTTTACCAGTGATATCCTGGTGCCAACAGTGGTTTGATGATTTAGGCTCCTTGCAGACTCCTGCTGTTCCTCACACTCTGAGCTACCTTGAGCCCTTCCAAGAGAGCTTGCCCTGGGGTGGAGGCTTTTGCATGAGCCTGTGCCTAGGATGGGGCTAATGTTGGCCATAGTGATGGGAAAGGGCTTAGCCACCAGCGGAGGCCAGGCAGGCTGGGCAGGGCTGCTCTTTCTCAATCTCCTCTCAGAGTGGGCCATCTGTGGATTTGCTGGGTTGCCCTCTTGGTGTGGGGACACAGCCCCTTCTGAAGTGGCACTGAAGTATAATGTGGAACTCTCCTGTCCTTCCCCTTCCCCTGGCTGTCCACCGGCACCCCTCCCCTGTGCTCCAGGAATGGCCTTGGCTCCTTCCTTTGGGGTGCTCACCCCTTGTGTAGCTGATGGCTTTGGGTCATGAGCTTTGCCTTGATGATCACTGACAAAAGAGATGTAACTAGAGGTTTCCAAAGAGTCGGCCTCTGCTTTAGGGACATCTTGAAACTCACAGCCTTTTTCTAAGGTTGTGGGGTCATGAGATGAGGATGAGGGCTCTTGCTGAGGACACAGAGGATTCCTCTGCAGATTAGAGTGTGGACTGAACCCCCATGTAGGGAGGAAAGAGCCGTCAAAATAGGCATCTCCAAAGGCTGCATTGATCTTAGACACATTTCCTGTTTTTAGGGCGAGTTTCACCAACAGCCAGTGGTGGTGACTGAGGAAAGAGTCCTCCCCAGAAACCTGGCTCCCTAGCCCCACCTCTGCAGGGCCCTGCTCTGGACAAGGGAGCCTCCTGAGACTCATTAGTTCATAACATTCCTCTTGGCAAGACCCCCATGAGCCCCCAGGCCTCTTCCCAGCTGGAGCCACAACCTGGGGAGAAGATTCCCTCTCAGCTTTATCATTCTCTGCATCACCGCAGGACTTCCTTATGAAGCCTTGCCAGATGTCTGTGGATTTTGGATGTAGCAAGCTGTAATAAATGACCAGTGAGACGCTGCCTGAAAGAGAAGAAGAAAAAGACAAAGAGCACAAGGTTATGTTCTTTGAAATCCTACATCCTCCTTATTGTTTGCAGAGTTCCAGTTTCTGCCCTTTTTGAGTAAAGCAATATAATCTGAACTCCAAAACAGGCCTCCTGTTGGAGGAAAGTGTTTTGAGGGACTTTAGGCTCCAGCTTTTACATACTGTAAATGTTTCTAAATTTAAAAATGTAATAACAAGACTTCAATCTTATTGATTCTATGCCTTCTTTCCTGAAAGCAGTTAGAACTGAGTACTCTCGATGAGTGTGGATGCATGTGTGTGGGGCATGTGTCTGCATGCTTTCATGTGTGTGTACACGCATGTGTGTGAACTGTTGGGTGGAAATATTAATTCTACTTTCAACAGTAGAATTTGACATCGGGATCAAATACTCAGAGTTCAACTATCAACAACACACTTGGTTGATGGATTCCAAAGTCAGGGGAGGGGAGGAGATAAGGAATAACCTCAAAAACAAGAAAACAAGTAAGACCTAAGCAGAGGTTAATCAGATTCATCAAAAACCCCATATCAAGGAATTTCCATGAGTAGCAACAACACTTCCTTTGTGCATAAACATCTTAATCACATTGTTGTCAGTTTAATTTATTTTGATCAGAAGTGTTGACTGCTGCAATAATTTCTTTAACAGAGCATTCCAGTAAGCCTCCCACGTTATTTCCAGTTTCCTGTTGCACTGGATCAAGTGCCTTGTTTCAGGGTGCTCATTATAAACAACACAAAACTTCAAATAAATGCTGGGAGAAGAGACGGAAGGGGCCAAGGGGTCATAGCATGACAGAGCTAGAAGGAACCAAAAGGGCTATCCCCTTGGATCCATGCACCTTTGCATCTTTGGGGAACAGGACTGGGAGGCAGCTAGAAAGCCCAGATCAGGCAGCTGCTTGGTGGGGGTGCTTATGCTAGGGAAATGGAACAGGATTCCCATGTGTTCAGGGTTGCCCCTGCAGCAGGCACTTCTCAAACAATTTCCATGTACTATTTGGAATTTTTACAATTACCCAGTGAGGGACACACTACCACCCTTCTTTTACGATGAGTCACCCAAGGTGAGGAACGATGAACCAAGCTGCCCAACCACAGAAGTCTTAAGCACATTTTTTCAGTGAAAAAAGATCTTCCAAGAGGCCATGCCTTTTGCTGGTTCTTGACTGTAGCCCCAGGCTGGCATGCAGTAGGTACTTAGTAAATGCTGGTCAAGGGAAAGAAGGAAAGAGGAGGAGCCTGGACACAAACCGGAACAGCCTGTGCTTTTTAGACTATAATTTATATAACATCTTCCTCTTGAGGATTCCCAAGGGCCACAGGGAGGCAGGCAGGACTGGAGCAAGCTCCGTCTGCAGGAAGGAAGAAGGAGCAGCAGTCCTGGCTCTAAGTGAGCCCTTTGAAACACCAGACCACAGCGAATGGCTCTCTGCTCACTGCCCTCCTGCTGCCACGGGTCAACACACTGAGACACCTTTTCACCAGCATGGCAGCTCCCAGGCATGTGGCACATTTTAGAAATAGCCAAACATCTTTTCAGGTCAGAGTGTTAACAGACATGATGGGGAGGGTGTTTTTACTTCTGACCCTGCTGTGCCCACAGAACTTTTATGAACCTGAAAACCCAGTGACTAGTCAGGCCTCCCAACTGGAAAGGCCCCTTCATCCCGAGTATCCACAGCATCCTTAACCCCAGGACTGTTTGAAATAGGTAGGCCAAGAGTGCCCAGAGCAATGCGCGGTGTGGGCAGGAGCAGCTGCAAGGCAGACACAGTATTTATTTACATTTTCAGTCTCTGTGCAACGAGTAGTGTCCTTCCTTGGTCTCCAGTTAACTGCTTGGGAGCTCAGTCTTTCACTGAGTCCATTGTAAACAAAACAAAAACAAAAACAAGTTGGAGAGAGGGTGCATTTAAGAATGTGACCTTGGTCTTACCGATCAGAAATCCAGACAAGACTCCTGCTATGGTCCATAGGCTGGTCCATGATGCTCCCTGGAGGAAGTCAGTGGCCAACAGCAGAAGGATGATGTTCTCCAGCAGCATGACCTGTGAGATGCGGGGGACAGTCACCACACCTTGTCAGCTGCCTGAGGTCACCGAAAGCTCCCCATCCTGTGAGTCTGTAGCTATTCTCTTCTGCCCTGGTTCCCACTAGGGCTCCCAGGCTGCTGGGACTCTCCTCGAAGCAGGGTCATGGTTCCAGTGAGAGCGTCTCTGGCAAAGGGAGATCCTCCTCGCTGTCATTGTGGTTCATTAAAATGCCTGCAGACTCATAAATGCGCAGATAATGTAAGGGCACTGCTCACATGGCCTTGGTGGCTCCCTTTGGCAAGACAGGCTGGGCTGGGAGAGGACTCTCATTTTCTACTTTCTTTCTTTCTCTATTCTCACGACACAGGCTTATTAGAGTTACAATACATTAACAAAAAATATCTGCTGAGCTCATGATGTTGTTGAATTCCAGTAAGCTAGAGTCACAGCATTTCTTAACTTGAGAATTATTTTCCAAGAATTTGCTTCTTTAAAAATAAATTAGGGGGTCTGGCAGGTGGCGTGGTGGTTAAGGGTGCTAGACTCCCACATGGCTGACTGCAGTTCGAGTCCTGTACCCGGCGGCTTGCTTTCTTATTCTCCCCCTCACTCTGTCCCTTTCTGGTCAAAAATTAAAATAAATAAATAAATAGATAAAGTTAAATAAAATACTTCTTAAAAAAATTTGTTGTGTGGCCACCAGGTGGCAGCAAGAGAAGTGTTCATGGTTGAAAAGAGAGGGCTCTGACAGCCCTATCCAGGCTGGCTTATTTAGTTTCCAATTCTTAAGCATAAAAATATATTTTTAAAACTAACATAAATAGAAAAACTTGATATAACTAAAAAACTTTAAATACTGTGTATAAGACATTAAAAATCCTAAATTATAATCATGATGTGCTTAAAGTCCTAAAAAGATTTTCCACGAATATTCATCAGCTTCTTTTTAAACTTGAGAAAATTCAGATGAGGAGAAAAACAAAAGCTTTACCAGGAACTGCTTCATAATCCTAAGAATGCCCATTCTCCCCATTGTCTTGGGTTCAATGACATTCCCCAGAAGCCAGCAACAGAAAACTCAATTCTTACTCTTCAAGCAACTACATCCCATCAGCTGTCTGGTGCTATTAGTACAGATTCATAAGTTTGTTTCAAATCTGCTGCCCGTTTCCTGCCTTTCCTGCCATTGTCATGGTTCTGGCCCTGTTATCTCCTGACGAAGCATTCTCTGTCTTCATTCTGTCTGCAATCTCTCCTCCACGTCATTGCAGAGCGATGAACTTCAGACTGTCCCCACTCCTCAACAGACAGGTGCCCTGTTTACCATTTAGTCCCAATTTTCCTTCCCAGGGTCACCTTCCAACATCTTTCTCCTAAATGACATTCCACAGACAAGAGTCTCTTCTTAACTGAACTCTAGTCAGGCCTTCTTCCCGGTGGGGCCTCAACTGTGGCCAATGAGAACTGCACTCTCAGCACACCACCTCTTCACACGAAGAGACTGGAACAAACACTAGCACAGTTTCTTTTTCTTTTCTTTCTTTCTTTTTTTTTTGAGAGGTTTTTGGTATAGGGCACATGCGCTTGCCAGAAAGACAGAGACAGAGACAGAAAGCAAAAAATCACCCTCCCCCAGGGGGGATGGCCATGCCACAATCCCGTCTCCTCCATTATCCTCTTGGGATCTTGGGCATGGATGCACATGTGCCTGGTGTGTGTTTTAGCCAGCTGGTTCGGGACTCGAACTGTGGTCAACTACGTGGGAGTCCAGTGACATAGCCATTATGCCAACTGCTGGTCCCGACTAGCACAGTTTCTAACAGCTCAGGGCCACTTCCCTAGGAGGATGACCCTATTCCCCTTAAGTTCCTGCCTGAGAATACTCAACACTGCCAGGAAAACTTACTGTTTGTTTTATCCCAAATGAAGTGATGGGCAGACAGGGCCCAGGACTGCCTCTTAGAGCAGTTACTTTAGAGCACTTATAATTGTAAAATTTCTCTGCCCTTGGATGGATAAATCTATGTCCAAAATCCTGGAAGCTGTTTCTTGGAAATACGGTCTAGGAGTTTACTCTCTCAGACTGGGGCTGCCTTGTTCTAACATGTTATAAAGACATGAGAAATGTGTTTCTGCTCCTGACAAGCAACAAGCGCCAATTAACAAACCCAGATGGGGTGGTCACATGAACTACCCCCATTTCTGCTTATTATAAATTTCTACTTCCCTGACTTTGCTCAAGTCCCCCAATACTTCCTTTCTACCTCTTCCTCCCTTTAAAATGCCTGATCACCTCCATACAAATCAAAGTTGAATTGAGTTCACGAAGGACTGAGTTGCAATAGATTGAATGAAATCTGCA